TTTCACGTTTTATATCTTTTTGTTCGTTGAGAAAAAATAAATTTTTTATATGCAAGTCGGTTTTCACATTGTTAGTTAAAGTCGGTGTAAAACTTAAACTTTTGTACATGGTTTAGCGAAAATATCTTCATCTTCTTTTTTTTTTTTTGTTTGTTTGTTTGTATGTGTTCATTCTTTCTTTCATTCTCCTTAATTTTATTTTTTCTTTTTTTCTTTTTATTTTTATAACTATGTAATTCTTTTATACGTACAATGGAATTCAAAGCTCTCTTGAAGATCTTGTAAGATCATTTAGTAAAAAAATTTATTTTCTTTTTTTGTCTTAGTTTCTTTTTTCTTTCTTCATCTTCATCTTCTTTCTTTCTTCATATTGGAAATATTTTTTAATCATACGTTTGTTATTGTTATTCTTGTTGTTGTTGTTGTTGTTGTTGTTGTTGTTATTGTTGTTGTTAAATGGCAAGCTTTATAAAACCAATGCGATATTCTTTTTGGATACTTTGTCGATATCAAAATACAAGACTTTTAGATGATCTGTACAATGCGAGATGATAAATGACGATGATCATTGTTATGGTCATGCAAAAGTTCTATAGTTTCTAAATTATTAATGATATATATACATATACATATACATATATATATATATAAGTATGTATGCATGTATGTATGTATGTACATACATGCATATATATACACACACGTATGACTTTTTTTTTTTTTTTCAAATAATTCATTGGAAAATTTATATACAATATGCGTTATATAATTATTTAAGAAATTTTATCCGAGTAGTATCAAAGTTTAATCGTTATATAATATTCCTGTTTGAATCATCGGATTATCATTTCGTATTTGTTATTATTTTCTATTTTTTTTTTTTTTTCATAGAAGATAAAGAGAAGCAGTTTTATGCAAAATTTAAATGCAATTCGAGCTATTGCTAGCTAAAAAAGAAAGAAAAACATTCGAGTAATTCAACAAGCAAAATAATTGAGTAATTTTTTAAGAACAAAAATTATTGTTTAGCCTCTTCAAAGTATAAATACAAATTTTGTTTATTTTTTAATGGGCTTCTTTTCGAGTTCGCATGATCTAAATATATATACAATATACAATTCAGAGAAAAATATTCATTTGAAAGTCTATTTTTCAATTGAGAAACTCTTTTATATATATTAAAAACAAAAAAAAAAACCACTTAAAAAATATAGCTAATCAAATGAAAATTTATCGCGAGTGATAAAAATTATAATCATAATAATGATAAGAAATAATTTTAAGCTAAAACAATGCTATCAAATGATAGAAACGAATAAATGAATTAATCTAGATCATTTAGTATTATCCAACACAATTCTCACACGCAGTTTTTATCTGTTTTCTTTTATCTAATCATTTATAATATAGGATAATCATAATAATGATAATAATAATAATAATAATAATAAGAAGAAGAAGAAGAAAAATATGGAACTATTTATATATATGTAAAAAAAAAATCTTTAGATCATCATCGTCGTATCATTAAATTACATCTACAAGCTTAAGTGTTCGATAAACCTAAAATTAATAATAATAATAATAATAATAATAATAATAATAATAACAACAATATTAACATACATGAATTTAAATTTAGCATCAGAGGAATATGTTTAGAAAAAAGAAAAACTTTAAATCTACTATATAACTAACAAAATTTTCATCTTCATGTATACTTCTTCATATTTTTCTTTTTTCCTTTTGTTTATACTTCGACATTATTTTTTTTTATATCTCGAGCCTTTATATTAAATATATAAGTATATATATATATATATATTTTAATTGGAGTGTTGTCGAAATCCTCAATTCCAAATATTAGTAGGACAATAATAATAATAATAATAATAATAATAATAATTATTATTATTATTATTATTATTATCATTATTATTATCATTATTATTATCATTATTATTATCATTATTATTATTATTATTATTATTATTATTATTATTATTATTATTATTATTATTATTATTATTATTATTATTATTACAATGATTTTCTATAAACCAAGCCAATATATTATCATGCATTGAGATCATAGTTCTTCGGGATTCGATTAAAATATAAACATAAACCGATAAAATATAACCGATTTCTTTGAATTATTATATACATATAACTACTATAGATTGTAATTTCTGAAGAAAAAAGAAGAAAAAAAAAGATTAAAAAAAAAAAAAAATTATCTTTATTTACAACAATTCTCTGTAGCGTCGTCATAAGCAGTAGAAAAACATACTGTACCACCACTTTGTCATTGTTTATTAATTTTTTTAACGAGTAATTTTTTTTTTTATTTAATATGGTCGGCGTGTATAAAAGTGAAATGTTTAAAAAAAGATGTTATTTTTTTTTTCTTTTTTTTTTCCTCCATTTTTCTTTCTTTCTTTCTTTCCCTCTTTCTTTCGGTGGAACTAGCGTTTCTATTATTTAAAAAATACATTGTTTATATTTCTTTTTTTTTTTTTTTTTTTTCATATGATCGACACGAAAAATTTCTCTTTCTCTCTCTCTCTCTCTCTCTGTTTTTTTTTTTCATTTCACATTAGTTTTCTTTATCATTTTACGAAAAATACATTATGTTTCGACGAAATTGTAAATTGCTCATAGTACATTAAGCTTTTATTTGTTTACTCGCTTAATTTCTTAGCTTATTCTTCATCTCCTTTTTTGTTTTTTTTTCCTTTCTTTATTTCTTATTTTTTTTTTTTGTTTTCTTCCTTATCTCTTCATTTCTGGCACGTATGTATGTTCAAAGCGTTCAATTTAACAAAAATAAAAAAAAAAAAAGAATAAATAAATAAATGAAAAATAAAGAAAAGAAAAAAAAAAAAATAAAAGTAAACGCCGCAGTGAATTGACGAGACTGTGAAGAAGGTACGTGTTTTTTATATTATTTAATTCTTAATTCCTCGTTTGCGATTAATATTTATCGTTAGACGTTAGAATAAACTGTACAAATGAATAGTCATTTTTCTATTTATACAATGCCACTCTCGTAGAATATTCTTTTTTAATTCGTAAATCATGCTAATAGTTTTCGATTGAAGAGTTGTCCAAATAAAACATTACAAAGTATTTACAATAAATTATATGTTAAACAATTTTAATCGCTTTACTCTTTTTTTTTTTTTTAATCAATTACAAGATCATAGAAATTTAATGAACATTATACAAAACATTAGACGTTACACAAAATTAATAATTTTTTATAAATTAAAAAAAAAAAAAAAGAATAAAAATAATTTGTAACACAATCATTTGGACCACTCTTTGGAACATTCTGTTCGTTTTATATTTTTTCTTTTTCTTTTTCTTTTTTTGTTTCTTTTTTTTTCTAAAGGCCATCTTAATCATTTTCTGACGTTTAGAAAAAATGTTCTTTTTTCTTTTTTCTTTTTTTTTTCTTTTTCTTTTTTTTCACTTCTTTCTCTTCTTTTTTTGAATAGATAGTACGGGCCAATTCTTCTTATACCTCAGATTATAATTCTTTTATCTTACCATTATATTTGGACGTAGAAAATAATATTAGCTATTATACATTCTAGGCAGTAGAGATTAGAACTTTAGCCATTGTCATATGCCGCCATTTTTATACAAGAGAATGATTTTCATTAAAATCAATTCAATGATGATAATAATAATATAATAATTTTTCATCTCGACACACTTTGTACAAATTTCTCAATCAGTTCTTGTCATTTACCCTTTTCTCTCTCTCTCTCTCTCTCTCTCTCTTTCTCTCTTTCTCTCTTTTGTTTCGCTTTTATTTAAATTACTTTTATTTATCATTCATTAGATATTCTAATCAATTTAAAAGTAGTTAACGATACTTAATAATAGTTCATGAATTTGAACTATAATAATAATAAATGAGAACACTGTTCTCCAACGTAATCCTTATGTGGCAGTGAAATGTTCTCGCAGAGTTGTTATTGTTTTTGTTATTATTATTATTATTATTATTATTATTATTATTTTTCTTTTTCTAATTAAATTTTTTTAACTAGCTCGTTCGACCACTTTTCCTTAATTATAAGAAGTAAAATGAGAGAGATCTAAGAAAAAAAAAACATTAATTAATTAATCAATTAATTAATTAATTAACTAATTAAGACAATTATAAGATCGAAGAGAAAAAAATTACTTATCGCTTAATCTCTTAACTATATATAATAAACAGTTCAAAAGAATGCAAGATCCTTTTCTTTCTTATCTTCTTTTCTTTCTTCCTCTATTTTCTTTTCTTATCTTCCTTCTTTTTTCTTTTTTTTTTTTGTTTTTTTTTCGCGTCAGATTTTTACTAAACATTATTAATTCTAAATTCGGATTAATCTTAATAATGTTTAATCGAATTTGGTAACTAATATACAAGCGCGCGCTTCCTTCGTTATCGTCATCCTTTCCTCCTTATACTTTACACACACACACACTCATAGTTTTTTTCTCACTCAATTAATTTACAATTGAAAACAGTCTTCTCTCGAATTCAACAATAGAACCATACCCGAGAGCTCGAAGAAATAGAATTAGAAAATACGAAATTCTTGCAAAATTTCCAAACAATCGAACTAATTATTAATTATCATTATCATTAATTATTATTATTATTATAATTATAATTATAATTATTATTATTATTATTATTATTATTATTATTATTATTATTATTATTATTATCATCATTAATATTATTATTATTGTTATTATTATTATTATTATTATTATTATTATTATTATTATTATTATTATTATTATTATTATTGTTACTATTATATAAATGGTACTCTAAAGAAAGATTAAAAAGATAACTATTAGAGTTATCTGTGACAAAGATTATCTTTCATTTTTCTCATGGTGTATGTATGTATGTATGTATATACATATACATATATATATATATTTACACACACACACATCATCATCATCGTCGTCGTTATCTTTACTTTTTTTTTAGCTCTCAGGTACGTCGTGATTACTAACAGATTTATTATTAATTAGATAAATTATTTATATATATATATATATATATTTATATATATATATATATATTATACACAGAAATTGTACTATCTAAGTCACTGTAAAGTGCCTAAGAAGTCCAAATATCTGTGTTGCATGTAACCTCAGGAGGATTGGCTGGTTTGTCCTGATAACGAAGGAGCGTTCAATGAGGTGTGTAAAGTAAATCCATCGTAAACGTCCATCAAATCTCGCATTCTGTATTCTTCCAAACAAACAAATCCTTCCAACGATGGTGCTTGTTTACGAGCACAATCCATACAATGCACGACATGACGTTTTTCTTGTTCACGTATAAATAAGATATTAAATACTTCGATCTGCAAAAGAAAGACAAAATAAACAAAAGGAAAAAAAAGAAAAGAAAAGAAAAAGAAAACAAAAAAAAAAAAAAAAAAAAAAAAGAAAAAAAGAAAAGAAAAAACAAAGAATGGCCCGCTTTTTATAAATCTAGTTTCTTCAATGAATAAAACTATCCAATGAAAATTTCTTACCTCGCATTGTCCACAATAATGCGATGCTTCGTTCTTTCCACGTCCATGAAATCGAACTTCTACACCTTTGCTCTTTACAAATTCTAATATTAAACAACACTGTCTCATTGTCCTTAATAGACAATTTTTAATTAATTCGAATAGCCTTGGATCCGACACTTTGATATTTCTAGCTAAGTTCCAGGATAGATGAACCATTGGCACTATGGATTTGAAGGATTGTAATTTGTTCCATTCGTAACGTTCTATAGCAAGCTGATATTGGCGAGCAGTTAATGGTCCTACATTCCACGCAATATTATTACACCAGCCTACTGCTTGCACCCAATGTACACAACCTAAAAAATAATTGATAAAAATTGTTAAAAGAATTTTTCTTTATTTTTAATGGAGATATAATTTAAATTAATTTACCAGCGTTGACCCAAACAAGATCTCCTGGTCTTTGCAAAAACCTATAGACAGGAATGTTTTCTTCATATAAATCTTCTAACGAAGGCCACCAACTACCATGAAGGTAATTGATATTATTACGTTCGCATAGGGCACAAATGACACCCCAATAAGCATCAGGTACTGCAAACCATTCGCAGTCACCCGGTCCGATATTAATATTGATTGAACAGAAATTATTATTTTCTTGATGACCAGGTGTTCTACTTCCAGGCACCTATACAAAAAAAAGAAATATTTATGTATATATGTATATTAACTTTAATCAACTGAAAATATTTTCAAGATAATATTCCACATACCTTCATATATAATTGCACGGTATTCATTCCCAATATAACGTGACCAACATGACTGAGCATGTTGCCAGCTGACACAACTCTTGCGAAAGCAGGTAACTTCATAAGTTCTTGTAATTGGATTTTCCACTTTCTCTCATCGGACAAGTCGACATTGGTCCCAAAACGTAACATTTTTGAACCTGGGCGACCAGCAAGTCCAAATGCATTTTTCTTTCGCCTAACTGCGCCTGTACTATCCTTCGAATCTGAATCCGACAAGTTCGATGTATGTATGCCCTGAGACTTTTCACGTTCTTCCTTCAAACTTTCTTGAAAACTCGAAGCTTGGTATTGAGCATATTTAGCTATAGTTGTATGACTTCTATGACTAATACAACCCCAAACCTTCCTACCCATTACTGGATCCCAATTTTCATCGCTCGTCTGTTGGACTTGTGTTCTAACTTCGATACCATGATCGGGATTAGCTTCTACTAATGTTTTAGTTGAAAAAAGACCTAAGTCTAATTTAAGGGCGGCCGCTAAACCACGGATTACAGCTATAGGATGTTTCAGACAAAATTCTTGTAATTGTGGACTGAATGCATCCTTCTTATTCTCTAAATAGACACTAGGCGTAGGTGGTAAGAGTTGTTCCTTGGTCAATCTTTGACTAGGAGGATCTGGAGGTGCCGGTGGAGGTGAACGATCACTTAATATCGAACAATTTGGAACTCCCTTTAATCCTTGGCCCTTACACGCCTCGACAATAGTTTTCGAATCCATTTCTATACTTAATTCTTGTTCTGGCTGCGACTCGCACAAACTCTCTAATTTGAGAACAGGTTCTGTTCGCGTTATAGATTCACTTTTATTTGTACTAGACGTCGCCTCACATTTTATAGTTTCGACCACTGGAATCGATGATTTAGACTCGTGTTTATCGAACATTTCTATATTGGAGGTAGACGATGGTTGAATTTCATCCATCTTTTCCATTTTAACTTCCTTTATCTTATCAGGATTTTCTTCCATATTGGATGGAGAAAATGGACCAGAACTCAAAGTACCATTGTTCATAATACCAGGTGGTTCTTCTTTAACGTCTAAATCCTCTGATCCAAAATGTTTTAACAAGTCTTCCGCCAATGACGTTGCAATGTCTTTCTGAGACAACAAAGCTTGCAATTCTTGATCTGTGACACCCAAGTCCTTGTTTCCTGCTGAACCTTCAGGATAACTACTTGTCGTAGAAGAGATCTGAGCATAACCTTGTGCCGTATATTGATTCGACTGATACTGATTGAATTGACCGCTCTGAGTCAATTGTCTTTGAGGATAATTAGGATCAGAAGCAGATTTATAAGGCATCCCAGGTGTCTGTGTGTTACCCGTTGCAACGGTATTGTAGCCTACGTTTGAATCGGAAAATCCTGTTTGTAAAGCAACAGTTCCTCCTTGCTGCAACTAAAAACAATATTGAAATTAAGATATATTTTGTTTTTATCAATATATCTTGAACATCTGTGTGTGTGCGTGTGTGTGCGTGTGTGTATACACATATATATATATATATATATATATATATATATACATATACATATACATATATATATATAAAGGAGAAAATTATATACCGGTTGCTGAGGGATACCATAATTTTTTATAACACCAGGTTGCCCAGATGGCTGTCCATGAGAATAAGCAGTAGGATAACCTGGTTGTCCTGGCCTAAGCCCTCTCTGAGCAGCTTGTTGTTGCTGCAATCTAATTTGTTGTTGATGTTGTTGCATCGCTCTATACTGATGCTGAAGTTGTGCAAGTAAACCCTGCTGTTGTGGCGTTAAACTACTTTGATTTTGTTGCAAAAATTGCAACATTTGTAATTGTTGTGGCGATAAATAAAATGGCGGAGGCCTTTGCGGAGACGGAGGTGATATTGAATCATCTCCAGGCTGATAATCAAAATTTTTTTTTTTTTTTCAAAATTAATCACAGTCACTTCTAATATAATATTTTGGATTTTATCATTAATATCATCGGAGAAACATTTAGATTGTTACCTTAAATCTTTTTGTGTTTAAATTTTGCCCTTGAGTTTGAGGATAAGGTGGTGGTGGTCCAGATGGTGCTGCACCATATTTATATCCTGGACCACCAGGGGGTTGTTGTTGTTGCTGTTGTCTACTAGACATTTCTGCGCTTATTGGTAAATTCCAAGCTTCTTCTATTGACGGCAATTGCCGCCTTCTGTAAAAAAAAAAAAAAAAGAAATAATTTATATTTTCTTTATAACATCTAAGATATTAATGTTTCTCTTTGAGGTAGAAAGAAACATTACCTTTTTTATTTTATTTTCATCATCCTAAAATTAACTTACTTGGCAGCAACAGAGGGCATTGGTGCTTGACTTAGGTGACTTTGTAAAAAGTTTATTCGCTGTTGTAAAGATGGGTTCATCGGGGTATTACCACCAGACTTAGCACCGCCAAGGCCTACCAATGGGCCCGTACAATTAGGAGTATTGTTGTTTCCTCTATAAAATATATAAAACAAATTTTTGCAAAGACTATTATTTACTGTGTGACCAGGTGAGCCTTTGATTCAGTCAAATGAATACCTGGTCTTTGACTTACAACAGCTCTCTTTTCTTGTATCACTCATCTCGAATGAGGCAGAAGTTGCCCCTACTATAAAGTATAAAGTACAAGATATATAAGCAATAGCAATTTACAAAGATAAATGGAATTGTCGACGATGGATTAATTAAAAATGATCCAAAACCTTCAAAAATTTTGACATAGAATATTCTCCTTAAGAAATGTTTTACAAGCGCTTTTCATTTTTTAATTTTATCCACTTACATAACATCTCTAAACATTTTCCTTTTCTTTCCTTTTCTTTCCTATATATATATATATATATATGTATATACACACACAGATAAACACACAGGAATAAAGTTAGTATGCCTTTTCAACAAGTTTTTTTTACCCACGTGCAATTTTTTCCTTTTCTTTTTTTTTCCCTTTTTTTTTAAGACTATAGTACTTCACGTTACCTAGATGCGTTGACGTAACAAGCTAATGCGTCCTTTGGTTGACTAACGCTCTCATATAAAATGCCCAAATTCGTCCAGGCAGCTGAATGCGATTTATCCAATTGTACAGCACATATGTAAGCTTGGAGTGCATCCATAGGCTGATTCTGTTGCTGGTATAGAACACCTATACTGCACCAGGTATCAGCGTTTCCCTCTGATTTTTCCACGGAATTTCTACAAAGGTATAGAAGATTACTAACCAAATGTAAACCGTATTAAATGTACATATAATATTAAAAATCAATTAAATGTTAATTATTAATTACCTATAAGCGATGAACGCATCATGAACTTTTCCAGAAGCAGCAAGACACCTTCCAAGAAGATACAAACTCTGTCCACTTTTAGGCTCAGCTTCAATAGACTTTTGTAAACAGTGAATAGCTATAGCTTGCTTCTGTTGTCTAGTTACACCTAATACGGAACAATCAACAACATGGTACATCCATCCTGTAACAAAAAAAAAAAAATATATATATATATAAGAAAAAATATACAAATAATTTATTCTTACGTATGAGAAGAAAAACATGTATCAAATATGTTGATGAAACTTTACGTTCTCGTTCCTTATATTCTAAGATGAATGTGAATCTTCAAGGGAACTTAGTCTGAGGAGTCAGAGAATAGTACTGAAAGAAAAAGAGGAAGTCTGTTTCCTTTATTACTACTAGACCAATGCCAAACTGAATAGATTTTTGCAGGTATAGCCTAGGGGTAGCTACTTTTACCCTCACTTTCTTTTTCCTTCTCTCCCTTGCATCTCGAGTTACATCCCCTCTATAAAACATAGGCGTAGAAATAGGAGTGGTAAAAAAAGAAAAAAGAAAAAGAAAAAGAAAAAGAAAAAGAAGACAAGAAAATTTTTTTTTACTATCATTGGTAAAATTTATACTCTTTTTCTCTTTCATTACACTTTATATGATGTAATTAATCTTGAAATTTATTGTACTTTCGTTATATTA